CATAATGTCTTGTTGATGTTGGATTTTTGTAGATTCGATCTGGTGCTTTTCTGTGGAAGTAAGAAGGAGAAATTGGCTTCTGGTATCTTCGAACCATTCATCTCTCATCTTAAATTCGCTAGAGATCAGATCTCTAAAGGCGGTTACTCCATTTCACTTCATCCTCCTTCTTCTCACTCTTCTTGGTTCACCAAATCCACTTTTGATCGGTAACATTTTTATCCGCTTCGATTTTTATTTTGTTCTTGATAATTTCCAAGAATTGTGTATATTATTCAAGTATTGCAAATGACAATTTTGGTGTTTAAATTGCAACAATTGTCTCTTAATTTTGATAATGACTTTTTTTGTAAGGATTTGATCTACCACTGTGATATTGCTTAAACAATGTGGATTCTTAGTGAGTGATTTGATTTGATTTGACTTGTTGGTCAGTTACTGATTCCTTTTCTTTGTTTGCAGATTTGTGAGATTCGTAAATACGCCTGCGATTATCGAGAGATTTGCCACTCTGGAGAAAGAGATCTTGCAGATTGAGCATTCCATTCAAGCTAATGAAATCGCCAATGCTGCTGATGCTGAGCAGATACAAGACGGTATATATTGAATAGCTTCGGAATAATCGGTTTGTAGAACAGTGTCCCGGACAATAATCCTAACAATGCTTTGCTTATAATCTTCAGGGAGTAATTCTGGAGTTAGCAGTAATGTAAGGAAGTCAAATGAGTCCTCCAAGGTAACTTTTGCTTTCAAATGGTACTGTGTTATTTAGTAACTGCTTTGGTCAATTGAGTGTTTTCTTTACATTTGTATATTACACAGAAGGAATCTGAGAATGGCAATGAGACTGCAGGAGAGGAAACCTCCAAGTAAATATACACATTTCTTTTGGTTAATCAGGCAACCGATGGAGAAGTTCTGATTTTACTAAATGCGTTTGTTTTTTTGTCTTATTTTATAGGATCCAGCTTCAACGTCTTCTTGAAACCCGAAGAACATTGCTTCGGAGAGAGCAAGCAATGGCCTATGCACGAGGCGTTGTTGCTGGTTATGAAATTAATAGTATTGATGATCTCATACTATTTGCTGATGTTTTCGGAGCGTCTAGGTTAAGGTATGTAAATGCTAGTTCACCATTTCATCACTTTTTAACCTCCTTTCATTTCTTGTGCTATAAGATAGTTTTGCAAGCTTCTAAGCCTATTCATCATTAAACAGGGAAGCATGTGTAAATTATAAGGAACTATGGAAGAAGAAGCACGGAGACGGGCTTTGGATGGCAGAATTAGCAGCTGTGAAAGCAATTGCTCCAGTGGACATGTCATTATTGGGTTCCTCGGGGATCATCCTCACCAATGAAGGTGCTGCTCTTTCGCTACATGGAACCGACTCATCTAATGCAAGTTCTGAAATTAAAGGTATCTTATTATATTTGATTTCAGACATCCTAATTCTTTTCCTGCAAAGATGACTAAATGTTCATTTCTAAAGTGAAAAAGTTTTGATTTGTAGATGACAAGTCGGTTAATTTGGACCAACATCCGCCCGGTGTTCCAAACTTTCAAGCACCAATGGGATGGCCAAACCATATACCTCAGTACTTCTATCCGCCTCCATACCAAGGTTATCCGTATCCTCTAATGCAACCTATGCCAAATCAAAACCAAGGAAACATGCCATGGCTTCCAAAAAGCAAAACTTTCAAGAAAAAAGGGAAAAAGGATTCTGATGAAGATGGGTCTAGTGGATCAAGTGACTCTGCCTCGGCCAGCGATGATTCTGCTTCATCTTTGGAAGATCAAGGTAAAAGACACTCTCATACGGGTAAAAACTCTCGTCGGTCAAAGAAAAGCCGGAAGAAGTCATCTAAAACTGTTATCATCCGTAATATTAACTACATAACCCCCGAGGGAAGAAACGGCGACATGGAGGGAGAGGAGTTTATGGAAAACGGTTCCATCAAAGAGACTGTAGATGCTGCTGTTGGATTTCTCAAGGACAAAAATGCTCATGAGGGAGGAGTTTCTAGTGATGAACTTCTGAAAAGTTCAGCTCAAGAAAAACGAAGCAATGAGAATTGGGATTTGTTTCAGAACATTCTGATGAGGCACGACGATGGCTCAGATGTGCATTCCATGGATGTCGTCAATGAGGAGCATTTCACCCTCAGAGGCTCTAGTCCGGGTGTGAATTCTAATGGTTTGAAAGCAAGTAACGATGCCTCGGGTGATTCCATAATCACAACTCAGAAACATGGAGAAAATGGAGGAGTGACGTTTGATCATTTTGAAAATGAGGATAGTGCTCGTAGGCTTCCAAGAACGAGGGACTCAACTGAAGAATGTATGTTATTGCTAAAAAGATCGGATATGTTAGGAGATGAAAGCAAAGACATGTATAATGCTACAAGGGGTGAATCGTTGGTGAAGAAGTCAGGGAGTGGAGAGGATTGGTTTACTTCTGATCATCGTGCAGGAAAACCGGAAAGCAACTACGGGAGATTATCATTGGATGATAGTATTTTGACATCTGAACGTTCTGATAGGAGCAAGAAACAAGAATTTGGTGATGATTCTTTCATGGTGCATTCATCATCGCTTGCCGGTGACGATCTTTATGACTCTCGATGGAGACCAGACATGGCTGCAGATATTGCTTTATCCACTGACATCGAAAACGGCCAAGCCAATGAAAAGCGTGAAATGTCTGGCTCTTGGGAACCGAATGATCTTTGTATGATTCTTGAACGCAATTCAGGAGACTCGTTGCCTAATGATTACTCGATTGACTTCTCTGCTGAAGCGAATGCAAGGCTATCCAGTAACGGAACAGCTCAGGAGAAAGAAGATAAGACCGCCGTCTCAAGCGGCGAGAAGAAGAACAATGTGAAGAACCCGGAAGCTCGTAAGTCTAGAACTCCAGGTAGAACCAGAGCTGAAACCATGTCCAAGACTGTAAAGAAACCAACAGTAGCTAACAGAACAATGGCACAGAAGAACAAGTTTGAAAAGGTAAGAAAAGGTCTAAAATTTGTTATTTTCTTTAGCTGTTTTTATCCGATAATCGAATGGTTTAGTTTCTTACCGAGTTATTCGCGGGTAAAATATTTGGTATCGTAGGAAGAAGAGATGAGGAAGAGAATAGAGAATCTTGTAATGGAAAGACAGAGAAGAATCGCTGAGAGATCAGCCGCGACTGCAACTCGAAAAGCTTCGAACCGAACTCCGTCGGTTCGTGAAAGAGCAACATAAGAAGGTGAAGTATAACGTTTGGTTGAGTTAAACCGTTGGAAACAAAACTGACGTTAAGAGATACTCAAAATGCGACGTTTGGTTCACTTCAAAAATTCTTTTGATACAATCATATGAATAAGTCAGGTGGTGGTGGATTTTGCTTGTGTCACAATTATTTTATTTATTATTTTGTCCAACTTTTTTCCAAATATTTATTTGTAATTTTTTTCGGTAAAATATGAGATTTATATATTTGTAATTTGGTTTATATACTCGGAAGTTACGTATACCCGACCATTTAGTAGTCCACATTTTAGTTTTGAACTTAAATTGGTAAAATGCACTTTGCTGAACATTTTTTTTTTTATCACAAACACACTTCATTATCGGTTATACAAATATAATTTTAATAACTGAAAACTAATAGGGTACAGAAGTGTCAATAAAAGAAAAGATTGTATCTCGCGTGCGCGCAGACCTTGCAAGCAAATCAGCTCTCTTGTTAGTCTCCCGTTGCCGGTAGACAAGATCAAATTCGAGGAAAGAGTCCTTGAGTACTGCCAATTCACGCAGTTCCG